TGTGAGAAAATAGGTGATACCAAAAAGACAGACACAATCTCAATCAGGATGATGTATCAGAAAAAATCACAGAATTGTGTGTGTGTATAGAAATAGAAATATTTCTATTTCCATGTATAAGCAGTAGACATGTAAAATGTGTTTATGTAAAAAGATTGTGAGCTTTCATAGATGCACAAACATGAACTATTTAAAATATATTGTGTTGTTCCTGCTGTGTTCATGCATCAAGAGAACATAACATATTTTCTCATTGTTAATTGCTTCCTAAGTGCTATTGCCTCAGTATTTCAGAACATGAAAAATTATATTAAGAGAACATAGAATCAGTAGCAATAAAATCTGGGCCCCATTAATGTCTTTGTAAGCTTTGCTATGGACATGAGGGGGGCCATAGTTCCACCCGAAATATGTGGCTGTACAAGTAGCTCAAAATCTTCAAGAAATTACAATACCAAGAATTTTTCATGTTGACTCCTGCTATATGTCGGCCTCTAATCTAAGGTTCACAACAGCTTTCAATTAAAGCAAATAACTTGTTATCATTTTTCAGTTCTAATAGTAAACTCTTAATCACAACTGTGATTTTTTTTTTAAATCTCTTTGCCTGCAAGTCACACAGTCTTTTTGTGTTTCCCCCCCTCACCACCACAGAAACCAGGAATGGATCTAGCAGATACCTACATCATGTTTGTTCGGCAAAACCAAGATATATTTCGAGAAAAGGTCAATGAGGAAATGTATATAGAAAAGTTATTTGATGTAAGTAACTACCCTTGCAAGGCATGCTGGCATCATGGTTACATTTGGAAGGGATAAGTTGCATTTTGATGGCATTCAGCACACAGGTCAGAATGCTTCTCTCTCATGCTCATTTTTGCTTTGTTTTTTATTTTATTTTGTTCAGCTACTAAGGCTCATCTTAATTTTAAACATTTCCTGCATGAGAGCTATAAATGCTGGAATGGTAGAATGAGTAGATCAAATGTTCTAAGGTTACAATTTTAAAAAGTTATTTTATCATTTCGCATTATATGTAATGCAGCTTTATTTTACCTTTTGATTTTGATGTGCCACAGACAGAATTGTATTGCAATGGATTTTCTTAATGCATCAAGAAACTGTTTTTATTTCCCTAAATAACAGCTCTCATGGCTTATTCTTCATTCAAACTGTGTAAGAAAGTCAGCTATGTTAAAGGTATCCAAATTTCTTACAATGGCTTTAGATAAGTGACTTCTGGAATTTACTTTATGGTACATTTAGTCTAAGAATTTCAACTGCAGGGGTTTAAAATTAGTCAAATACTTACTGAGTCAGTAATGTTCACAACTTCAGCCTATTGACCTCAGCTTTCAAGTGGGCTTTTCATCCTCATCTTTAAAATTCTGCCACAGACCCCAGCCCTGCCCACATTTTCCTTCTAATTCCCCCTTTCACCTTTGCATCCGCCTGTACTGAGATTATTGCCTGTCCTCTCACCCCAATCTCCCTTGTCTTGTAATGTTCTCCCTCTGTTTTGGTTTAAAGTGACCACATCTTCTTCTTCAACATCTCTTCTTACACAAGGCCTGCTGCAATACTGTCTCTGGATATCTCCACTGCTTCAAGATTTGACCACTACTTGAAATATAATGACTTTCTGTATCGTTTGTGTCTGAGGCCACAAATAGGCGATCATTTCTCTGAAATTCTTACCAGTAGAAAAATAGTCCAGGACTGGGAGCCTACATGTGTTCCACTCCTCTGACTGGAGAGCTACGCAGGCAAGCTCCACAGGCCATCCCTGCCTTTAAAGGAGCCTGTTGCTTGAAAACCTGTCCTCCCCCCTGCCTGGGAAGGGAACTGGCTGTCAATAGGCAAGCCCCCAGCTTTTAAATTGCTGCATGTGCTGCCCAGATGAACTGCACACAGGGTGTTTTAAGCCAGAAGTGCAGGAAAGCAGGGCCAAGGGGGGCCTGCCCAACCTAGTTCCTGAATCACAGTTTTTAAATTGCCACATGGGCTTCCCAGCTGGGCAACACACACAGCTTTTAAAGCCCATAGGAATGGGAACCAGGCCCAGGACAGCTTCCTCAGCCTCAGTTTCTGGCCCTGCAGGCTTTAAATCTCACCTGTCTGGGTGACATGGGTGGCAATTTCAAAGCCTGCAGGGACAGGGAAGCTGTCCCCACTGCCATTCCTGGCAGCAGGTGGGGCGCACATGCTGGCTGCTCTGCTCTCTTCATGTTCACTGGGAGCAGTAGGGCAAAGCCCCCTGCCTGCTCTTCAGACCAGGGATCCCAGTCTTGGGAGCAGGCGGGGGGCTTTGCCCCACTGCTCTGGTCCCTTTCCAGACCAGACCAAAATGGGAATGTCCAGGTATTCATTCTTGCAAGAGAGTTTCTCTGTCAGAGGAGATCCTCCAGGTTGACACCTGGAATAACTTTCTCCTGAAGGAGAAAGCATGTTCCAAGGAGAAACTGAATGAATGCTTGTCTGCTCAGTTTCTACCAGAAGGACAGCTATTCTCCCAGTTGGAATGCCTTTACATGGCCTGAATTAGAAGCTCTGATCCTGTCTTACAGGTATTTAAAACACCACTCGCACAAAAACGGAAATACAATCTGATTCTTTTGTTAAAATGTGAAGCTTAAATCAAGAAAGCTATTGTTTTACATAAGGATGATGTCAGTTACTTGTAATTGTATAGCTGTCTTAACAGAGGAAGTAATTCTGCCTTTGATCCAGTTTACCACAATCCATTACAATACTGATTCTGAAGCACAGTGTTTGCTCTGAAATGTATTTATTTGTGTACCATCTACTATGCATTTTAGAAAGCTTTTCTGGCAGTTTCATTTAATTATGCAAGTTACAGCAAATGTTTTCATAACAGCAATTCACAGCCTTTACTGTGACACTTCAGTTGTGGCAATTGCAGAAGGTCCCCTAACATAGACTCTCAGCCATGAGATGTCATGTCAGTGTTTGTTGTTTGTTAGGTTGGGTGGTCAAAATGAGACTTATCTCTCAGACTTTATATTTCTAGACACTCCTAGGCAGTTTTACAAAAAAAAAAAAAAAAGTATCATCTGTTTTAATAAGCTAAGTGTTAATATGTGTGAAAAGAATGATTTTATAAAAGCTTTGATGCCCTGCAGGGGTAGAAAAATTATCATCCATCCAGCTGGCACTTTCACAACGCACTAAAACCATATTAGCAACTTCTGCTTCAGTTTGGTGTTGCACTGAATCTATAAGCATATGTTTCATTTTCAAGTTTCCTTTTTTTTCTTTTGCTTGTGTTGTAATTTTCTGAATGTTAATAATAATACATGTTTTATGGCCAAGTTCAGCTTTCACTGAAGTCAGTGATAGTCTTTCCATTGACTTTAACAGGACTTGGATCAGACTTTTAGTCACTAACATTATAGAAATAAGAGAGGGAAAAGGTATTCAAGATTTTTCAACTATGTAGGTATCCTGTGAGGAAAAATATCCATTTCCATTTCTGCTTTTCTTCATATATGCTTTATTCACTAAATATTATTACCTCTTTACTGTATAACACTACTCCCAGAGAGTCAATGAATTGAAATTAAACAGAAATACATTATCACACATATGAAAGTTGATGTGTAAAACCACTTACTGTAACAAGAGATGAAACCGTGTTCTGTTCCCTAATGTAAATCCAGAGTAGATCCCATAGCTCTAATGCCCCTTTATTGAGGTTACTCAGAATTTAAACAAGTGTAACAGAGCAAGATTTTGCCTATGATTATCAGTGTAAAAAATTAGCTATATATATATAATTTGCATACACCATTCTGTCGAAAGCACTCAAAGGGGATTTAATGTTTTTGTTTGATTCCTCAAACTATTTATGTCTGGTTACAGTTGCAACTCAGTACCGTTTTTCTACTAACATTATTTTGTGTTTTCATCAGCTGGGAAACTGGCATCTGGGTGAAGGGGGGAAATTCAATTACCTGTGCATATCTCAGATAAAAATGCCTTTTTGGGTTAAAGTAAATTTTTAATAGCTAATGAGACTAGGAGTCTGGTGGCTATTCTATAGGCCACAGGTACCTACTTTAGGCAGACTAGTGGCCGAGCTGTTTTTTTATTCAATCTGAAAATTCATACTTCAGAACCACTTAAGTATGCACCCTAGGCCTAATAACACTGCAGCACTGACTCAATTTTATACAGGTGTGTAACTCCATTTAAGTCATGCAAATCAATCAAGTTGCAATCAGGTAAAACAGGTAAACATGATGGTAAATCAAGCCAAAATGTGTTTTGGGCCCCCTCGACACATTACAAATATCATGGAATTAACTGGTTAATTGTGTAGTTACTTTAAGACCAGCTACATGTGCAAAATACCTATTACGCTATAAAAAGCTCCAACCAGCTGTGAAGTTAGACCTGGAAAATGTGTACTAACTTTATAAGTGGTTGCTATTGAGCTTTAATTTGCATGTGTAGCAGAGTCTCCCTTGTGGCTGGGAGTCCCATTGGCGCCCACGCCCAGCCACAGGGGTGCACCATGCCCAGCTGGAGCAGGGAGTTCCGCAGCTGACAGGACTCTCAGCCCTAGCAGCTGCGAACACTGCGTCCTGGCAATGTGTCTCCTGGTGCCAGGACCTAGCTCGGAGATCTTCAGGGATGCCGCAGTCTTCAGCCTTGGAGGTGCATGGGGCACCCCTGTGGCTGGCAACCCCACAGCTCAAAGAGCTCCCAGCCGCAGGAGTTTGCTTCTTGCCTGTGGTGGAGCTTGGGAGCTGGCTCTCTGGGCACAGGCAATAAAATGCAATGGGATCTAATGCATGATCCCACAATCATGCCTCACATATGGCATAGCAAGGGGTGCGATTGTGTGGATCACACATTAGATCCCTTCGTGCCTTTACCTACAGGTGTAATGGGGCCCTTAGTTTCTTTATATAAAAGCTGTTCAAAATAAATCCTGTGTGTTTCTGCAATATACCTGTTTTGCCATGCATAACTAGTAAATCACAAAGTTAAACAGTCCCTTGTGCTTATAAATGATTCAAGTTGCCTGCTGTCATGTAAAATGTAGTCCTTTTTTAAATAGTGGTCAATCAGCATATTTTAAGCCAAGATCTATCTGAAAATATTCAAACTTGTTTGAACCAGTGCATGAAAATTGTTTTCATCTTTCTGTGAAGAACTCCTAAAGGGATATTTGGTGAGCTAGAGGATGAAATATTTAAGGGGAGTTCAACTAGCGTAAATGTGGGTTATCAGAGTGTTCAATAAGACCCAATTTTTTTAAAGTCTATTAGGCAAACAATTTAGGAAGCACTGAACAAACATCTGGAGAATATGTCATTTATCCAGCACATACATGAGACGTGTTTATAATATCCTAAACATCCACTAATGGAAACTTTCTCCAAGGAGCTGATCCTACACCATTGGAGTCCATGGAACTTTTGCCATTGACTTCAGTGGAAGCAGGATTTAACTTATGCACCTATCTCAATATCCTAACTGGTTGAATTTAGGACTCTGGCACATGTTCATTGAATGGTGTAATGCAAGAGTGCTCAACCCCAAGCCCACAGGCCAATCCCTGGCACCATGTCATCCAGCCTGTGAAACTCCCCATGAATGACAGGCCAGTTGGGGGCAGCACTGGGCCCCTGGACTCCAATTCAGGCCAGGTATAAATAGTGCAGGACCCCTGGAGCCTAATCCCAGCTGAGCAGGGACAGTACAGAGTCCCATGCTACCTCCATGCAAGGACA